TTGCGGGAGGAGCTCAACAGGGTGGTCTACAGTGGCGGAGAAATCAACGACCTCGCTGAATTCAGGCACCCAATCACGGTCGCGTGGCAGAATCTCTCGATGGCGCTCATCCAGCAGGTTGGCAGGCTTCATGATCCTGTAGTACGAAGTGTTGTTGGATTTTGTAGTGAAAAAATGTTGAAAAAATGTGAAACTGTTCGCTCAGAATTAAAAAAAGTGTAATAACTTAAATGGCCTTTGGGCTCCTATAAGGCTCACAGTCGAACTTTTGTGCTAATTTAGCTTTAGCTCATCAGGACGTCTCGGTCGATGTTTCAGTGTTTCTGAACTTTCAGTGTTTCTGTTTTTGGCGGAGGGGCTCCTCTTTAATCAGCTATCACAAAAAGTAAAACTTGCGCCCTGACTTGAGGTGGGGAGAAAGAAACGGGGAAGATTCACAATCACAAACATTTGGCAACCGCATGTGCGACTCTCTTGCATCTCATCGGCCAAATATGATGGGGACAAACAAACGCTGTATTCATCACATCGATTTCCCTTGGAATGCTACTGGATGCCAACTTCAGTGGGTCTGCCTGTTCCATGTTTGATAACGTCCTCCTGCGGTTATTAGCTGACTCTTTTACTGTACTCCAGCTCTCACTACATGAGCTGAAGAAGGAGTCCTCCCTCAGCTCACTTTTACACGAATTACTCCGCATGCATAATACATGCTGATATTTGCCTCAATATTGAGCAGCTGTGCTCAGTTATTTTTTTTTGAGAAGCTCTCTTGCTGTGTGCCTTACTTGCTGTCCGCGATGTCCAATGGAAATGCAAAAGAAGTATGGGAAGAGTGTGTGGTCTGCTGTGGACAAGCTTGTGCCAGCTTGCGCTGTGGAAAGTTGTAGGATAAAGAAGTCAAGGCGCAAAGTTGCTTGAGTGATACCTCCCTTTTCCACTGACCCCGACCCCAGACGCGACGTTCTAGCCAGAAGTAATGCTACCGGACATGCTCTATCTTGCGGGGCTATAGGGTCTATTCCAAAAAAATCACTCGCCTGGACTCCACTGACACGCGCGTCTCCTGACCTTTTACCTGCACAGTTGTTGGGGCTGGAGGGACCCTATTGATGGTGCTGCCGACGTTCCTTTTGGAATTTTCTCCCCATGCAGTCACTTGAAAACTTCACTTCCATATTTCAACAGCACACCGTGCCTTTTATAGGAGTCGTGTATAAAGAGGTCTTTCATCTTGAACGCCGTAAATGTTTCGTTCAAAAAACCCGTTCTCACTTTTATGTCCTTAAATCATCTGCTTTTGCCAATTTTCATGTCAATAATCAATTTACGACATAATGATACTGAATAAAAGATGTCTGAAATGAGCAATGTATACCAAAGGCAAAAAAAAAAACTGCGGCTGCTGTGACCAGTCTTTTCCGGGGTTTGACGCGATCTTCTCTGCAACCATTCAAGTGAGAGCGTTTTACACTCTAGAAAGAGGGTACAGTAAAAATTGAAACTGACGTTCTGTCAAAGGTTTACCAGTCAGTTAGGCCCAACAATCAAGCGTAAGAGTACATTGAGCTTAGCTGGCTTATTGGCAGAGCAGCCTGCTGCTGAGATAAGAAGCAAATTCTGCTTTTATTTCAGAAGGAGCAGCACTTCGCAGGCTGAGACGAACACCATTCAAATGTCAGAACTGTTCAATTCGCGACTTTTCGCCTCAGCTGGCTGCCGTATCGGTTTGATTTCTGAATCTGAGTACAGTATTGTTGTCTGCTGAAGTAGCGTTCGAAATTCGCGGTGACGCGCGTCAACGCGCTACTATTGCAGTAGCGCTCCAATGCTACAGACGGAAATGCATCCATAGGTGGGTATCGATGCGCCGGCCGCATGTGTTTCTGGGAGGAGGGCGCATCATCGTTGGGGGCTCCCCAACAAAGGGGGGGGGTCGTGTTCGGTCGCTGAAGGGAGGGGGAGGGGTCGTATCTGGTCTAAAAAGATTTCGATAGTTGATTTTTCTTGTTTCAGGGACGCTATAAAGGGGGGGGGGGAGGGGAAAGAGTTCGCTCGTTGTTGGGAGAGCAGGGTCCTATTAGCCTTCTGGCCTTTTAAGAGAGGCTGTTGATTTTTCGTGGTTTTTCCTTTTTCACATGTGCTGTGCACTCTCCCCCTCCGCTCGATGAGGAGGGAACTAGGCGGGGGGGGGGGTCGTATCAAAACACCTTTTAGTGGGAGAGGAGCGTACAGACTGGACCAAAATCT